TAACCAGATATGTAATTTTGAAAAAGCAAATTCATTTGTAAAAATGAAAGTCATGTTATATTATTTATAAAGTTCCTTTCAGCTCACATTCCATGATTGTATAATTTTCATTTCACTGAAAACAATGAAAGCAATTCCAATGTGACATTATGAGACAAAGTCAGAAATACTGAACTAGCATAACTGTAGAAAGATCTCAGCAACACTACGACTTCAAAAATGACTTTAATCATCAAAGAAGATGCAAGAAAGGGTGGACAAATCCAAAATCAGTATAGTAATAAATGATAAACAGATAAACACCATTATTTTATACAGTAAAACAAACAAACCATACATTAACAACAAAAAAGAAGTTTCCTAAAACATTTCCTCCAACTGAATGGGCAGGACTACATATTGGATAATTTGTTCCTACTTGGATGATGTCACCATAATAGGTTTAACTGCTTTTAATAACTAGTACATTTCAGTCATCTCTCACTTTCTCCCACATAAGCTCAAATCAGCCTTTCAATGACCTACTTCATGAGTCATAATTTTTCTGTTTATGATTCAGAAAAATGTCTTCAGTCAGTATTTCCCAGACTACTGTGGGTTTATTCCAAGAATCAATTTCATCCTCATTGGTTTCCTACAGGAAACCAGACCAACTTCCTATTATTTTATTTTCCTTACTTTTAGCATACCATAGCCCACATCAAGTTAACTGGAAGTGAGAGTGATAGAAGACTTTGTTCTGCACAAAGAGAAGCCACCACAAACAATGCCCAGTCTAGAAGTCACGGATTCAAAATTAAATGCAAACTGTGCTATAGTAGGACCTTTTTTCAAAAGAATACCAAACCAAATAGTAAGAAATTTATTCTAACTAATCTTATTGCAAGTATTCCACTGTCAGAGAAAAAACATTTTTAAAAATCTATTATCTACAATTGCAATAAATTCTAAAAAGGTGATTAATTCAGAGAATTTTTAATCATAAAGAACAAAATATGAGTTTTTCTATCCAAATTCCCTATCAAGCTACAAGAAAAATGGCAAGCAACTGAAACCCAATATGCTGAGTCTCAGAGTGGTCAAGGAACAGAGCAATGTGCCCCAGCCATCTGGGGCGAGCAACCTGTTACCATGAGGTACCATCATCCCAGCCTCTTCCCCATGCCCATACCCATCACAATAGGTTTAACTGCTTTTAATAACTAGTACATTTCAGTCATCTCTCACTTTCATGCCCTTGTTCCATAACTAGGTAACAACCTATCCGTAAATCACAATGTAAACAGGGGTATGGAACAAGGGATGTTAAAGGACATTCTAAAAGGAGCTTGTACTCACATTATTTCTCTAAAACACTAGTGCCGAAAAAGTATTTAGTCTCACACCTGCACACTGCTCAGATAAAGAGATTCCTGGATGTGAAGAGCATTAGTATACACATAGATCAGATTCTCTTCAGACTCTTTCCATTCTTGCCTCTTCTGATGGCAGGTGTAGTTTTGCACTTCACCTGGCAAGTAATAGGCCGATATTCTATCAAATTCAAAAGTTGATACATTCAAGGAGAAGGTCTAACAAAAATGTATTTATGGCAAATCTATATGTGTAAAACCAAGAAACTTGAAACACTCAAGCAAGAGTTCTCAAGATGTGGTCCCCAGACAAGAGTCAGCATCATCTGGACAGATCCCAGAAATACAAGTTCTCAGACCCCCACCTTAGACCTAAGGAATCAAAGATTCTGAGGAGGGACCTGGCAACCAGCAGTAATGCTGATGCAAATTGTTATCACATTCTCTATGATCCTAGAAATTTCTAGATAATTTCTAGAAAACAATCCACTTGATTTGCACTTCCTTTGTAACCTCTCAATGACTCAAGCCTCTGCACTCTGGCTAACTCCTCCTATCATATCACTAAAATCTTCTTTTTAAAAGCCACACAAATCATCTCAAGACTAACTGCCGAGGCCAGTGACCTTTTCCAGGTCCTCATTCCCTTCTTTCATACCCTACTGCTTGGAATGGCAAATTCCTTGACTTCCATGACACAATTCTACCCTCTGCCTCTCTAGCTCCTCTGCCCTGCTCTTCTACCTCCCACCCTCTCATTATAAGCATGTCCCCAAGGTTCAATCTTCAGTGTTCTGCCCCTTTCCCTAGCTACTACTTGGCATCTTAAGGACTCCAAAAGCTGAATTCACACTTCTGCAGGGGCATCTCTCCCAAACCTCACAACATATTTTAAGCTACCTCATGTCCTGCTTTACCTGAATGCCCTTCAAGTACTGTTGGTAAGATATCTCCAAAAGGGAACTTCTCATTTTTCCCTTCCCACTCCAACAGTCCCTCCCTGACTGTGTATTTCTAGTATTGGATCCATTGACTGTCTGATCCCAAGGTCCCGGAACCTCAGTATTCCCTCTTCCTTGGTGACCACATCTGATGTGCAGAGGAGTCAGCCTCACAAGGCCCCCTATTTTACCCTCCTTCTCCCCATTTCTAGTGCCACCATCCTCATCTAACAACTTCCTATTTCTTCTTGAGCCTCACCTCTAGACTCTTACAAGTCATCATCAGTAAATATACTTCCTTCCTGTTCAAAATATGGAGAGCTGCCCAGATGCAGCCCAGCTTCCCACCTATCTCCGCCTTGCATTTCTCCTCATACTCTTTCTGATTAGCTAATACAGAATGCTCCACATGCTGCCAGCATGCCCTGGGATTTCTTATTTCTAATTCTTTGCTTTCTATTATTACCTCCATTTCAACTATCAGTTTCCCCTCACATATGTAAAGCCCTCTCTCTGCTTCAAGACCAGGGCTACTGTCAACTCCTTGCACTATCCATAATCTCCTCATGGAAGTTCTCTCTGACCCTTCTCTAAAGACTCACAGACATCTGTGCAAATCACCCCTACTGAAGTTGAAACTCCCCACAGCAGACGTGAGTTTGATACAGCTTTTTGCCCTCCATCATACCACACATGACACCTTATATGAAGTACGCACTCAAGAAATATTTGTTGAAGGATGAAATGACTTTACAAACAAAAATTATTATTTAATGGAGCAACATTCCTACCAATTAACTGACCTTTAAAAGAAGAGCCAAAATAGAATAAAAACAGATAAACTTCATGTACATAGCAACTTAAAAAAAGAATCAACTCAGTCTCCACTACTTTCTATTACTTACAGTACCACACTTCAAAATGATAACTAAACACTAACATGCTCACGGCATCTAAAAAAAAATGTAAACTTTTTAACTCCAGATACATTTTGGAAAAAAGCAATGACTGACTCTTCAATATTAAAATGACAGGGGGGCAGACCTTCCATAAATAAACCCTTTATAAAATTTCCTGTATCTTCCCACCAGGCCAGTTGGTAGCTTCTAGAGGTGATAAACTACAATCACAAAGGAAACTTTTTAATCTAAAGGAAATTGAATAACAGAATGTTCATTCCAAAACATTCTGTTTTGTCTGGAAGATACTCTCACAGTTGGCCAGAAAGGTTAAGAAGCAGCCAGATGAATTATAATGTGGAAGACCGACTGACTGCCTCAATTAGAGAAAAATAAAGTGTTTATTCTTGGAATGGTAGAGTCGCTGCTTCCCTATAGGAAAAAGGTGATGCACTCTCTTAAGTAAAGTATGCATAAGAGACCTTTCAAAATGACAAAACACACTGAGAATCATTTAGAAAAACAGCTTTGCTCTAACCCTAAGACCTGGGCACCTTTCACAGACCAAATTTCAAGCCTAGATATAGAACAGAATCGTCACTGATTAAAGAAAGAAAAGAAATGCTTTGTCTTAGCACAGGCAGATATGAGGTATTTTTATCAATCAATATATGGTCATCCTGCAATGTTAACATTTTGGAGAAAAATGTTTAATAAGAATTGACACTCAACTTTTAAATTTGCTACTAATTATAAAACTGGGCTTACTGCTATGTTTCTCTCACTATATTCACCACTTGGTTTCAGTTGCTCTGGTTCATGATTTCATCCTTAAATTAGTGTAAGTATACAGCTTCCATCTGTATAAAGTTAGGGATATAGAGAAATAGCAAATCACCTAAAATATTTTCTAAAATAAGACTCATGTTTTTTGTTAAACAATAAAAAAGGCTTACATTTTATAAGCATTTTTTGTTGTTGCCGTTTGTTTGTTTGGCTTTTGAAACTTAAGAGTTATTTGCTTTTATTTCTAAGCTTTACTAATCATCTTCAATGAGTATCAACAGAACTCACATCATCTGTGACTTCAGATGTCACTCAAGTGAGCAGGAGGACATAACAACAAAAAATGTGAGTTAAACAGATCACTAGAACTTGGAACAGGCCTCTAGGGTTCACTGTGATCCATTCCAGAAAGTGACAGAAAGGGAGATGGGCAGACTACCAAAGAATCTGAATAAAAGGAAGAAAATCAACATTAGCTATATCACATTCAGGAAGAAAAAGGTTAAAAAGAGCTTTTCTTCCATTGATTTTTACAACTTACAATAAAAAGTTAATTCAGCTAATTTTAAAATTTTGGGACTCAAAAAATATTCTCGCAGCCAGTAATATAGCCACTACCAAAAATTAATGTTAAAATAGAGGTTTTACTGAGCTGTGTCTTCCAATATTTTAATAAAACATTTCATTCATAATGTGACTTGAAATAGCAGAAAATACATCCAAGTGAGGCTCGTGACTATAGGGTACAACCCAAAATAACAAATGCTGCTGTTTCAATGTTAGTGTAAGATTTTATTATATTGTCCAATAACAAAATACTTTACAAATAACAAAATAAATAACACTTTTTTAAAAACCTCCTACTGTTTCCGTTAGGATTAACACTTAAATTTGCATTGATGATTAAACATGGAGACTAGACCAGTTGTTATATTAATGTGTTGAAAAGCAATAGACACAAGTAAAATATAGAATACTGTGGGAACACAGCCGGAGAAATTATGATCATAAAAATGGCTTACTTTGACATGGCTCTGTGCCCCCAGGTTGTAGATCTCAGTAGGCTTTACTTCATTAATGATCTTCACTAGGCAGGTACTGTCAGTGAGATCGCCATAGTGCAATTTCATGTCTTTAGGATTCAAAAACATAAAAGAAGAAAACAACATAAGCTTAGGTCTTTAAAACACTGTAATTGAAATAAATATTTTGAACGTGTGAAAAGCCAGGGTTAAAATAGAAATGTTATATTTGATGATTTTGGAGAGTAAGAGTATAACTGTTATCTGTAAATAACCAAAAGGTAGAAAGATATTTATATGTATTGCCTATGTTGTAAAGATTTGTGAGGGTAAACTCAGATGAACTTTTTAGAAAGCATAATATAATGACATTTAACATCTCTTAGGCTGAAGATGGTTATAAGAAGTGTCATACAAGACTGAGATTCAGAAAAAGAAAACTTTGCATTAACATGTATACCTCTAAAGAAAGCTGTAACACACTGGTGATGGTGGAGATAGTGCTGTACTTCTTCAAATACTTCTATCTAACCATTTTTTAAGTGCCTTATAAACATCAATTCTTAAATCATCCATAAAATGCCTGATTAACTGATTAAAGGACATAACTGATTAAGGGGCAACTAACTATTCCAACTCATAAATCTAAGCAAATCCTTACACTGACTTAATCAGTATAAGAATTTGATACATGTAAATGGATGTTTACTAACTTGACAGTTTTGCTATTTTTACAAAATAATGATCTATATATCTAGACCCCCATAGCAGTACCATTCTATAGTCTGCACAGAAACAATAATAATCTCCAAGGATGATACACTGAATAACTTAAAAATTAAGGTGGAAAGCCATTTCTGTGGACAACTGCATTATCTTTCTGATAATATCACTACCTATACAAACAACCCAAACTTTTGAATATTAAGGGGCTCAGAGGTAAATACAAAGGTTTACAAGCTAACTGTATCATTCTCGTTGGCTGGAAAATCTGGTCACATAACACAGGCTAAACTTGAGGAGTTATCATAAAAGCTCCGTGTCCTAATCCCAGCTCTACCTTCTTCATGGGGTATGACCTTGATGAAGTCACAACCTTTGTCTGCCTCCATCTCCTCATCTCTAAAATGGTCTGCCTAATATTCTCAGAAATTGCTGTAAAGATCAAATGAGAAGGCTTGGCACCTGTGGCTCAAGTGGCTAAGGCGCCAGCCACATACACCTAAGGTGGCGAGTTCAAATCCAACCTGCCAAAAACAACAATGATGGCTGCAACCAAAAAAATAGCCAGGCATTGTGGCAGGCGCCTGTGGTACCAGCTACTTGGGAGGCTGAGGCAGAAGACTTGCTTGAGTCCAGGAGTTGGAAGTTGCTGTGAGCTGTGATGTCACAGCACTTTACTCCAGGGGATAGCTTGAGGCTCTGTCTCAAAAAACAAAGATCAAATGAGAAAACACTATGACTGTGCTACATAAACCCTACAGCTACATACAGGAAAATTACTAACTAAATTAACAAAACAACTGCAAATACTAATAATGATCAGTAAGTTGTTTTTTGGGTTTTTTTTTTTTTTTTAGACAGAGTCTATCTTTGTTACTCTCAGTAGAGTGTTATGGTGTCATAGCTCACAG